ATATACAGGGTGCGGCATTTATAGTGACGCGGGCATATTTTTCGGAAACGAAGTGAGATATCAAAAAATATTTCCGACAAAAGCTGCATGGTTTTGAGGGGGCCACATGATAAAAATATGGATTTGACCTTAAGTGGTCTTTTCAAGGTGAGGTCAATGTGATCGACGTTTTCTTAAATGGAACCCCCCTTTTTTATTACATATTCTTGTAGCTTATCTCGAGAGCTTTCCAAAACACTATAATAAAGTATTTTTTCATTAAGTACTTTTTGATTTATTTTATATTTTAATCTGACATATTTTGATATAAAAATTAAAATATCTCGTAAAATATTTAGTTCTCGATAATCTTACTGTAATACTTTTATGTACAGAATAATGAGACAAATCAATTAGTGTAAAGAAAAAAACAAAATAATTGTTTAAAAAATACATTATAAATAATTACATACTTTTTCTTAAAAACAATTATTTTTTTTTTACTGATTGATTTATCTCATTATTCTGTACATAAAAGTATAACGGTAAGATTATCGAGAACTAAATATTTTACGATATATTTTATTTTTTATATCAAAATATGTTAGATTAAGATATAAAATAACTCTTAAGCCCGTATCAGATTACGCATTGAAAATTGAAGATTGAAGATTAAAGATTGGAATTTGATTAATCAGAATAAAAGGGACTAAAATTTTTTCGTCTTGATTGGTAAAATTTCAATCTTAAATCTTCAATCTCAATCTTCAATGCGTAGACTGATACGGGCTTTAATCAAAAAATACTTAATGAAAAAAAACTATTATAGTGTTTTGAAAAGGTCCCAAAAAAGGTTATGTGAATATACAATAAAAAATAGGGGGCACCGCGAGCAGATTAAATAGAACAGCAGAAATAGAAACCGACACCACGATAACTAACACTGCGATGCTATACTAAACTCATTTTAAAAAATAAATTTGATCTTGAAATAACTTTTTGGACTTTGATCCAAAGTCAAATGAAGATCAGATGACCTCAATACCAAACAACTATTGTCTGAAACTATTTTCTCTTAAACTTATGAGCTCTAAAATATTTCAATGGATTGATTAAAATGACCCACCCTGTATATATTTTGTATATACAAAGTGTATAAAAAAAGGTCAGCACCCCAGAATATCTCGAAAAATATGTTTTATAAAAAAATATTTCAGGTAAAAGTTGTAGGGTTTAAAAAGATCTATTTATTGATCTTATCAGTTTGACCTTGAGTGGCATCGCCAAGGTCAAGGCAAAGTCACCTTGAAATTTTTAAATAAAATCCCCTATTTTTTATTACATATTTTTATAGTCCTTGAAACCTTTTCACTAACATTGTTACTTAATGTACCACTTAAAATCCTACAACTTTTATCTGGAACATTTTTCTCAAATCTCGAAAATAAAATATTTTTGCCGACCTTTTTTATACACCATGTATATACACAGTTACACTATAAATACGATATTCCCCTACAACATATGATTGAATTTTACTCTAATTATTAAGAGTATGGAGCTTTGCTTTGTAGCTTTCCGTAATTATGTTTAATTATTTCATGTGTTCGTTACAATCATTAATATAAGATGTATTTTATTATCCTTATCACACACATTAATTTTATGTTGTATTAATCAAATATCACTTGATTAATATCTGCGCTATTTATTTTTATAGCTTCATAGCTAATTAATTTATTATAAAATTTTTTTATATTTTTTATTAAAAGTTACTTTTTAGTCGCTCGGCACGTTGTACAACACTTTAATGGTTATGTTAATAATTACACATACTTCTTTCTTTTACCTTATAATTCATATTCATAGTACATAAATACATTTGGGTCCCTTAAATAAATCGACAAATCAAATAAATGGGGGCCTATTACGGTTCTTGAAACGAGGTGAAAATTACAAAAATAAATAGAGAATTTACTAGATTTCGACAAATGAAATTGTAGATACTCTAGTGAATTTCCTCACTTCTGTAATTTTCACTTCGTTTCAAAAACTGTAATAGGCCCGTATAATTACCGAAAATATTGAGTGCATTCAGGAGACACAACCGTTGAGTAGCAATCGAACATGATTGGTTCTTACTTCTAGAACCAACAAATCAACGTCGAATGTTGACAAGACGCTGTTGTGTCTCCTGAACGCGCCCATTGTGAAAAATGTTTCTTTAATTTAGTTAATCCAATTAAATTAATTATAAAAATTTATGCTCTCATACATTCTCTTAAATAGAGAACTTGGAAGTCATGTAAAAGTTAGAGAAATACAAATTGAAACTTAAGCTTTAATGTAATGAATTCTCATTATGTATATTGTGAATTCTTATGGCCCAACTGTATGTATGTAAAACTCTATGCTAACATAGCTGTGTGTTACGGATAGAATTACTACAATTGGCGCATCATAGCGAGGCACATGTTCCCGAAACTGTTGAAGGAAATGATTCATTTGTCAACACTCTCATCTCACTGTTATGCGGCATTATTTGTAATAATGAACAATACAATAAGCCCATAGGTAAGGCAACCTCTTCTATTGCAGGAATGTTTTACCAGTCATCCTAACTATTCATTGTATTCATTCAATTATTTATCTTTAATGTGTATCTTTAATGCAGTTGAAATATGCTTTCGCCAGTGATAGACAATGGTCGCGTTCAGTAGAGAAAACCGCTTAGTAGCAACCGAATGTGATTGGTTCTTACTTTTAGAACCAACGAATCAACGTCGAGTGTTGACAAGACGATAACTGAGCGCTTTCTCTGCTGAACGCGGCCAATGTATCAGCATTGCTACTTTTCGAGAAATTATCAACCACACCATAGAAAAGTCCAAGATCTGAGAAAGTCATCCTTTCAATAAATTGATATGAGAGATGCAGGGATTTTTCCTAATCAATTCATTTTTCTAACCATGCGTGATCCACAGAATCGATGGAATATTTTTGAGCGCTTTAGAATTCTATATTTTGAAATAAAATATCCATTTTAATATACTTTTCTCATATTAATAATTATAAGGAATATAAGTGCTTTATTAAAGGGAGATATTAATATAATATACATATTTTATACATATTACATATATAATATAATAGAATTTATGAATTTTTTGAAAAACAATTTTTTTTTATTTCTTTCGCCATAATGGACCTAACAATAGGTTTGTTCGCGTTGCTTGAACTTTTTGCACTCAGTATCTTCGCTTTCACTTTCTTCAACATCCGAATATATATTTATCTCGTTTTCAGTGCAGAACTTTTTGAGAATTTCAAGCAACGCGAACAAACCTAGTACTGTATATCTCGATAAAATATGTACATTACTGAGGACGATTGCTATTGGTCGAGCCTCACGATTTGTCCAGTCAATTCCCATTTTCACTCATGTGAATAGGAACTAAGGTCGAAGTGAAACTGGCGCCACTTCAGAAGTATCGCATTTATTATAAAATTTTTTTATATTTTTTATTAAAAGTTACTTTTTAGTCGCTCGGCACGTTGTACAACACTTTAATGGTTATGTTAATAATTACACATACTTCTTTCTTTTACCTTATAATTCATATTCATAGTACATAAATACATTTGGGTCCCTTAAATAAATCGACAAATCAAATAAATGGGGGCCTATTACGGTTCTTGAAACGAGGTGAAAATTACAAAAATAAACAGAGAATTTACTAGATTTCGACAAATGAAATTGTAGATACTCTAGTGAATTTCCTCACTTCTGTAATTTTCACTTCGTTTCAAAAACTGTAATAGGCCCGTAGAATTACCGATAATATTGAGTGCATTCAGGAGACACAACCGTTGAGTAGCAATCGAACATGATTGGTTCTTACTTCTAGAACCAACAAATCAACGTCGAATGTTGACAAGACGCTGTTGTGTCTCCTGAACGCGCCCATTGTGAAAAATGTTTCTTTAATTTAGTTAATCCAATTAAATTAATTATAAAAATTTATGCTCTCATACATTCTCTTAAATAGAGAACTTGGAAGTCATGTAAAAGTTAGAGAAATACAAATTGAAACTTAAGCTTTAATGTAATGAATTCTCATTATGTATATTGTGAATTCTTATGGCCCAACTGTATGTATGTAAAACTCTATGCTAACATAGCTGTGTGTTACGGATAGAATTACTACAATTGGCGCATCATAGCGAGGCACATGTTCCCGAAACTGTTGAAGGAAATGATTCATTTGTCAACACTCTCATCTCACTGTTATGCGGCATTATTTGTAATAATGAACAATACAATAAGCCCATAGGTAAGGCAACCTCTTCTATTGTAGGAATGTTTTACCAGTCATCCTAACGATTCATTGTATTCATTCAATTATTTATCTTTAATGTGTATCTTTAATGCAGTTGAAATATGCTTTCGCCAGTGATAGACAATGGTCGCGTTCAGTAGAGAAAACCGCTTAGTAGCAACCGAATGTGATTGGTTCTTACTTTTAGAACCAACGAATCAACGTCGAGTGTTGACAAGACGATAACTGAGCGCTTTCTCTGCTGAACGCGGCCAGTGATAGTGACAGCATTTATCAGGATAGCGTTAGTAGATTGACACTAATTTAAGACAAGTGGAGATGATCAATTACATGCTTCTTCAATTAATAGAAGCATGAAATATACAATGTTTAAATTCGTCGACATTCGTGCAAGATTTTGTGATACAATCTGTATCTTTATACCTTGGATTGTCATCTCTAGAAAAGACTGAAAATTTTCTTTTGCAACAAAGATTATTATTATATCTTCAACACACATACACACATTGTCCGTTTTACATATTTAAAAAGAATTACATAGGGTAATATTTATTTATATTCTATACTTTTTTGTGTAAATTTTCCATGTATATAAATGTTAAATTTATTATAAATCTTCCAAAATAAAAATCACGATAGGTGATTAAAAAGAATTTCTCTCTTAAATTACAGACACTCACGACAGAGGATTCAGCAAAGATATATGTCGCAGTATGGTTGCTATGTTGGATGTAGATCATTCTGGAAAACTCGGCTTTGAAGAATTCAAGACATTGTGGAACGATGTTAGAAAGTGGAGGGTAAGTTAGTGTGAAAATTTATTATAAAATTTTTTTATATTTTTTATTAAAAGTTACTTTTTAGTCGCTCGGCACGTTGTACAACACTTTAATGGTTATGTTAATAATTACACATACTTCTTTCTTTTACCTTATAATTCATATTCATAGTACATAAATACATTTGGGTCCCTTAAATAAATCGACAAATCAAATAAATGGGGGCCTATTACGGTTCTTGAAACGAGGTGAAAATTACAAAAATAAACAGAGAATTTACTAGATTTCGACAAATGAAATTGTAGATACTCTAGTGAATTTCCTCACTTCTGTAATTTTCACTTCGTTTCAAAAACTGTAATAGGCCCGTAGAATTACCGATAATATTGAGTGCATTCAGGAGACACAACCGTTGAGTAGCAATCGAACATGATTGGTTCTTACTTCTAGAACCAACAAATCAACGTCGAATGTTGACAAGACGCTGTTGTGTCTCCTGAACGCGCCCATTGTGAAAAATGTTTCTTTAATTTAGTTAATCCAATTAAATTAATTATAAAAATTTATGCTCTCATACATTCTCTTAAATAGAGAACTTGGAAGTCATGTAAAAGTTAGAGAAATACAAATTGAAACTTAAGCTTTAATGTAATGAATTCTCATTATGTATATTGTGAATTCTTATGGCCCAACTGTATGTATGTAAAACTCTATGCTAACATAGCTGTGTGTTACGGATAGAATTACTACAATTGGCGCATCATAGCGAGGCACATGTTCCCGAAACTGTTGAAGGAAATGATTCATTTGTCAACACTCTCATCTCACTGTTATGCGGCATTATTTGTAATAATGAACAATACAATAAGCCCATAGGTAAGGCAACCTCTTCTATTGTAGGAATGTTTTACCAGTCATCCTAACGATTCATTGTATTCATTCAATTATTTATCTTTAATGTGTATCTTTAATGCAGTTGAAATATGCTTTCGCCAGTGATAGACAATGGTCGCGTTCAGTAGAGAAAACCGCTTAGTAGCAACCGAATGTGATTGGTTCTTACTTTTAGAACCAACGAATCAACGTCGAGTGTTGACAAGACGATAACTGAGCGCTTTCTCTGCTGAACGCGGCCAGTGATAGTGACAGCATTTATCAGGATAGCGTTAGTAGATTGACACTAATTTAAGACAAGTGGAGATGATCAATTACATGCTTCTTCAATTAATAGAAGCATGAAATATACAATGTTTAAATTTGTCGACATTTGTGCAAGATTTTGATACAATCTGTATCTTTATACCTTGGATTGTCATCTCTAGAAAAGACTGAAAATTTTCTTTTGCAACAAAGATTATTATTATATCTTCAACACACATACACACATTGTCCGTTTTACATATTTAAAAAGAATTACATAGGGTAATATTTATTTATATTCTATACTTTTTTGTGTAAATTTTCCATGTATATAAATGTTAAATTTATTATAAATCTTCCAAAATAAAAATCACGATAGGTGATTAAAAAGAATTTCTCTCTTAAATTACAGACACTCACGACAGAGGATTCAGCAAAGACATATGTCGCAGTATGGTTGCTATGTTGGATGTAGATCATTCTGGAAAACTCGGCTTTGAAGAATTCAAGACATTGTGGAACGATGTTAGAAAGTGGAGGGTAAGTTAGTGTGAAATACTTTCTAGTCAATTATCTCTAACTCCTTAATTTGAAAAATGTCTGTATGAACGTTTTAAAGTTTGTATATTAATAGTATAATAAATATATTCTAGGCTGTTTTTAAATTATACGACAGAGATGAATCGGGATATCTAAGTGCATTTGAACTAAGACAAGCGTTAAATAGTGCAGGATACCGTTTGAACAATCACATTCTTAACATTTTGGTTCATCGTTATGGCAGTAAAGATGGCAGGATTACTTTTGACGACTATATAATGTGTGCAGTCAGGCTTAAAACAATGATTGGTGAGTGAGAGACAATTACGTTTAATAAAAACCAAATATTTTTTTATTTTGATATATATCATACTTTATCACATCCCAGAGAGCCAAGTCTGTTCAAACAGATTTTGCCAAACATCTGCTACAAATTTTTGTCAGCAGAAAGATTCCAGATTATATACAAAGTCTGTTATATCCGATAATGATAGCAGAATGTCAGCAGAAATGTTACACAACCTGCTGACATAATTTGACAGCAGATCAGTAGCAGAAATCGAGCAGGATTTGCATAGAATTATTATAGCAGATAGCCAGCAGAAACCGAGCAGGATGTGTACAACGCAATTTGATGTCAAATTGATAGCAGAAATCAAGCAGAATCTGCGCGCCCGCAATCTGACGGCAGATTGGTAGCAGAAATCGAGCAGGATCTGCTAACATGACTTGACATCAGATTGTCGGCAAAAATCGAGCAAGATCTGCGTGCGCGCAATCTGATGGTAAATTGGCAGTAGAAATCAAACAGAATCTGCAGCTTTTAGCATTCATATAATTTATTGAAATAGTATAGTTTATTCGCTTACAGCTATGCGGCGCATTATTCATTTTCTATACCTGTATTCAAATTCTTGTCACGAACGTATATAATGTTCCATATAAATAAAATATTTTAATTTTGATTTAATTTCATAAATTCAATTATTCAAATTTTCCTATATATATTACATTAATATACAGGATATTAGAAAAGTCTGGTAACGGTCAAATATCTCGTAAACAATGCATTTTAGAAAAAAATGTTTCAGACAAAAGTTGCATGGTTTCGAGGGGGACATAAGGTGGTGTCATTAATTTGACCTTGAATAGTTGCTTGAAGGTCACGTGAAGGTCAACTTCAAT